TATTTTTTACTTTATGAAATCAGAATTGCAGCTGTGATCTGTTATGATTACAGAACTGTTTGTGAACGGGGCACGCCTGCGCCTTTTCTGCGCAGGTGTCACCGGTTTCTTATTTTACAAAACAGATCTGTATTGAATAAGGGTACGATAATAATTTTTTCCATTTTTATTCCGTCTTTATTAATAGGCAATTTTATTTAACCATTATTGTTCGTGGCATTTCGTCCGAGCAGTACCGTGACAGTACTGTAATGGCTACAGATAAAATTTTCTCCGTGTATTAATTAATAGTTGGAGTTTTTTGTTGTGGCCTTTGGTCAATTAATTAATGTAAGTAATTAACCCTTTCAGTCACGCATTTTTCTTTTCACTGAATTCGCTTGAATCTCGTTACTCGGAGGTTTTTGGGGTTGCAAAATACGAATCTATAGAGTCAGATTTTTTTTTCTACAAAAGAGAAGTTTTTGGAAATATTGAAAGTTTATTGAAACGAAGGAATCGCGCTTCAACTCCCGCTGTAGCCCTGTGTTTTCTTTCTACTTTCGAGATATATCAAGCGCGAGGTCCAGTACACACCATTAGAACTCGGCTATCAATAAACTGGTTAGGTTGCACTGAGGAGAGGTTCTCTGCAGCTTCCCTCTCCGCTGGCGAGAAAACCCATTTAGACGGGTGGTTCAGGCAAATATGAGTACTTCTAATTCTATGTCGTGCTGTAGACGCAAAAATATAGGAAAATAAGATATAGTTTGTAAGACATTTCCACGGAGACACTTTACTTGTAACGTTAATATTAAGGCAAGAAGACTAGTGAATAAATAAATAAGATATGGACATTAGGCTCGAACTATCTGACAATAAAATATCTGAACAATCATGTTTAGGAAAAAAAAAATTTTATTCGTTAAAATAATTAGTAAATAAACAAGTAAGAATACGACAATAGTCGGCCACCTTCAAAAACCGTTAACATTTTTTTTCAATCACAAAAGCTTAGGTTTGTTTATGATGATATTAGAAGTGATTAGTAACAAACAAATTGTTTTTATCTCATACGGTTTTATAGCTACCTATTCAAAATTGAAAAGTGGCCGACTACTGTCTGGATTTACCCTATGTGGGCAATTCTTCGTGAAATTTTTCCATGACATTTTAAAATTGGTTATACATATTTTTTTGGATTTTTAAAAGTAGTGTTAAGACGAAAAATTATTATAGGATGTAGACATTCAAACAGTCATTTGTAAAAAAATCATATTGTGAAGCGCAGCGTAGTCCACGAGCAACTTGCAAGCTCGTATATTGTCAGGTACAAATAAATAAAGAAAAAATTTTAATTAATCACGCCCAAATTCAAAAAAAATTAATTTGTTTATATAAAAAAATAATTTTTTTAATTAAAAAATTTTTAAAATAATTTTTTTATATTACTTAAAAGTTGAAGAAAAACAAAAATTTTCTTTCTTTGACCATCTTAATTTTAAGGACAGTTTTGACCTATATGTCAAATCTATGTTAAGTTTGACGTAATTTTGACCTACAGGTCAAAAAGGGTCTTAATAAAAATCTTACACGGTGAGTTTGAATTCAATTTTAATTAAAAGTTTATTAACTGCAAATGTCTTTACGGATTTTAAAACTACATGTTTTTAGATTTATTTTTTTAAAAAAATGAAAATAATCGGCGGAGGGCTTTTTGAGGAAAACGGATTACATTTTATTTTACAAAAAAATTGTAGTTATAGTACGCTTTTTATTTTTGCTCTGATTGTACTTTGTTATGTAAATATTTTACTCACTTCACAAGTAATAATGTCAGATATTTTTCACTTTTATATGTTATATTATTGTGAATATTACTTTAACGTTGAAATGCCACATAAGGCATTTAAGGGGGACACTCGTGTAAACGCACGTTTTTTCAATAATTTTTTAATCAAAAATAGTAAAGTTTATTGAATTTAAGTAAAGCACATATATAATGTAATCTATAAAAATTATTTTTTTTTAATTAAAAATATTGCAAAATGGCGGCGTATGGCGAATTAGCTGCATAATCAAGGCTGTGAATCAAAAAAGTTTTATTTTTCAAAATTTTAGATTTTTAAAAGTAAAAATACTTTTATTTCGTGTCCCCCAGGAAAACCTAAATTTAAAAAAAAATGTAAGTCTACCTTCCTGGTTCTGAGATATTGAGACTAATGTAATGTTAGTACACACACATACTGACATTTCTCAAAAACACGTTTTTTGGACTCCTGCGCTCAAATTACACCAAAATATGTAAAAAAAAAAACCACAGTCGAAAACTGGGTAAATTTCTCGAATAGGTTCACGAAAAAAATTGTTGTGCATCAATTGCTCTGCCATGAGAAAGAACATCTTTTATCCCAGAAAAGGTTTAAATACGTCCCTTTTAAAGTACAAGATTTGTTTCGGCTTTTGGCACAACGGATGTACTCATATGTGTATCCAACGCACCGAAATTTTTCCCCTGTTGGCATTGATGATAATGAAAAGACACCCGGTATATGGAGCTTAATGTCCTACCAGATAAGGTTCCTCTTCTTGTAACGCTGGGACCAAAACCAGTCCTGCACCGCCCAACCGTGACCCCAGACCTCGTCATCCGGTCTGTTGGTGGTTATAGCATAGCTCCTTTCTTGCTTAGCAGCGTGCACTTCTCGTTTTTTCCTATCCTTATATACTTGTTTTTATTCTTTTCCATCACACCTATGACTCTTTACTTAACTAATATATTTTATGCAACGCACGCGCGTTATGGGTTCTTTATGATATCTATTTACCGGATCATATGTTTCTCTTTATAGCATAGTATATACATATTTTAGGGACGGTGGTGTCACTTTAATCCTCCGTGTTGGAAAATTTTATTATAACCATTATAGGCCGTAGTCCTATGTCAGCAGAAAGCTTTGTCTTGCTATGTCTCTGCCACTCATGAAATTTTACCTTTGGATGTATGCTTTTTTGCGCATTTTGGTTTCTTAAAACTTAACTTAATATTATCTTCTCAACATTATCAGGGTTGCCACAGGTCAGGGAATTCAGGGAAAAGTCAAGGAAATTAGAATTACTCAGGGAAATCAGGGAAAAGTCAGCGATTTTTATTAAAAGTACTGTAAAAGATTAAATTTTTAGAATATATAAGAATATTCTGAATTTGGTGTCTTTTTTGTTTGCCTCAATAAACTATGAAATTGACAAGAATTCTAATACAAACTCTTCAATTTTTCTATTTCTGACAATAATTTCTTTTTAAATAACTTAATTCTTGAACAACTATCATAAAATTTTTACTTAGAAATTATTTAATGAATAATTTTACTTAAAAATTTCAAAATTAATTGGATTTCTAAAGAGTTACGTTTACCATCTTGAACTTCAAAGGTTTATTACTTCATAGGTTTAAAATTTAAAATTTTAGAAAATTTCAATTTTTAATGAATTTAAATAGAAATTTTAAGAACAACTGATTCCAGAAATTCAATTATTTTCAAAAGTGATAAACTTCTTCGCATAAATTCAATTATGTTTAAAAATTTATTTAAATTCTCGTCAAAATTTCAATTATCTTCATAAATAATAAAAATCTTCTCCGAAATTCAATTATATTCAAAAAATTTAATAAAGTTCTTGGCAAAATTTTACTATTTTTTTGAACCGAAAAACTGCCAAAAAAACCTTAATTTTCGAAAATCTTTGTTTAAGTTGACGCCATTTTGTTATTTTTGCATAAAAATTAAAACTTCTAGTTTGGGCGATTAGTACAGTCCTACTGAACATAAATCAACTTGAATTTTCTGGTTCTGGTTTTTTTAACCGGAGAAATCAATTACGCAGCTGGCATCGGTACTTTCAGCTGGTCTAAAAGTATTGTTAACTTTTAAATAAACAAATAATATTTTTTTAATAAAATAAGGTTTTTTATAAAGTTAAAGAGTATATTTATTGAACTAAAAAAGATGCAGATCAATATAATCCATAAAGGAATCGTAAAAAAAATTCTAAAAATAGCTTCACTTTCAAGCGTGTAAAGTGGTATGAACCACTAAACAAAATTTTAATAAAAATTTCACAGGAATTCAATTATTTTCAAAAAGTTTTAAAAAATTCTGAAAACTTCAATTATTTAATAAATTATTTATTTTGTATTTAAATAATTTAATTCTCCACAAATTTTCAAATAAAAATTTATTAAAAATGAATTTCACATAAAATTTTAAATTATAATTCAATATTAAAAGCATTTTAGCGTGAATGATTTTATCACTCTGTCATCTTAAATTTATTATAAGTTATTGAATTTCAGAAGGTTTCAATTTGAAAATTTTAATTTCTATAGAAAAATAATAAATGAGTAGAAGAAGTTTAGGTATTTAAGAGGTATTTAAAAAGGGGTAGGTTATTTATAAAAGATTGTAGGTTATTTAAGAATAACTTAAAAGAATAAAAATAGAAAGAATAACGCAAATATGTGAAGCTCGGATTTTTTATATTTCGCTATTTTGAAGAAAGGGGATGTTTTTAAGAAAGGGATGATTTTTGAAATTCGGACAATGGACTTTTGAAGAGCCCTAAAAAAGACCAAAAATATAGCGTTTTGGTTTTTTTTAAATTCCTGTATTTTAGTTAGAGGAGGTGCTAACTTGATTTAAGTGGGCACCTCCACAAAAAATTTGTTTTTTCTGAAAATCTAAACCAGCCCAAAAATTGTCTCTACCGCTCAAAAATAGCCCTAAAAAGCCCTAAAATCTGGTATAGTAGATTATTGAAAATTGCTGCTTACTCTTATAAATTTGTTGATTAAAATTTCGATCATTTTAGCATTTCATAAAAAAAAATTATGTATAAGCTAAAATGAAAATATAATATAGGGATATAATATAATAATATTAAGAAATTCGAGAAGAAATTTGTTTCTCCAAATCAACAAAAAATAATATATATTTATATTCCAATATTCATTCGGTTTTCAGGTCTGAAATACCTTCACTCAGCCAGAATTCTTCATAGGGACATCAAGCCTGGGAATCTTTTAGTGAATAGTAATTGTGTTCTGAAGGTAATTTTCTGCAAAAAATGTTATTCTTATTTGTTTTAATAGAGTGATTAGAAATATCATTATAAGTAAGATTAGACTTTTATTTGTACATTGCACATAATTGAATTTTTTTTTAATATATATTTTTCTTATAACGTAACAGTTATAACCCTTGTGTCCATACCCAAGTAATTCTACGTTGTATACATCTATACTTTAAACTAATTTTTTATTTATTTATAAAAAAAAAAATTTTTTTAATGAAGTAATTGCTTTTATTTGTCATATATATAACGTAGATCTGGAGCGCTGAAAAGAAATTTTAATATGTATTTGACTAAAATGAAAAATTGTGTAGTCTTGTGGGTACCCGGGTATGAACACAAGGGTTAAATAAATCATTTATAATAATTTTAAATAAAAAATGTATAAAACAAAATATTACCAGGTTATGAGAAAAAAACAGTTCGGTTACTTTAGAGGACCAACGTATACTTTGATGTTTTTATTTGAAAGGCTATGTTTGTACCTGTGAGATTAAAAATTATTTATTACTGATCTTTGTAATTTTCCTTGAAGATCTGTGATTTCGGATTGGCAAGGGTTGAGGAACCTGATCAAACGAAACACATGACCCAGGAGGTGGTGACGCAGTATTATCGAGCACCAGAAATTTTAATGGGCGCACGACATTACACTGCTGCAGTAGATGTTTGGAGTGTAGGTTGTATTTTTGGTGAACTTCTGCAAAGGAGAATTCTCTTCCAAGCTCAGAGTCCTGTGTTGCAGGTATTTAATCATATTTAAAACTTCATTTTCAACTTATTAAAAATCTCTTTAATTAAATAATATTAAATAATATCTTTTTTTAATTTTATTTATAAACTTATCACTTAGTCGAGAGGTGAAAAAAACTCAAGTTTCGATGATTATTATGATCCTCGTCAACAGCTCCATTTTTTAATATTTTTAAGATGTAATTTTTGTTCGTTTACTCAATTTATTTTTTTACCGTTTATTATTTGTTCTGTATTTTTTACTACTGTTAATTTATTATACCTCAATATTGTTTAATGCATTAACCAATAATCTGCCCAATAAAGTTTTAGTGTCTGATGAAAACGACAATAGTAATCGCCGAAACGTTACGAGTTATAATCAGATTAAAAAACTTGTTTCCTATAGTTTACTTTAATCGATGTTTTAAAATGTATAATATTTTATTCTGAAGAATATTTTCCACAAAGATACTCAAGTAAAAATGTTTAATTATTGTTCTTGATAATTGTGTAGTTGGAGTTAATCACAGAATTACTGGGAACGCCAACCATCGAGGACATGAGGTACGCCTGTGTAGGAGCTAGGGCACATATGCTGGGACGCGCTCCTAAACCTTCCTCGCTCACGGCACTGTACACCCTCAGCAGTCAAGCGACGCACGAGGCTGTACATTTGCTTTGCCAAATGCTTGTCTTCGATCCCGTAAGATAGTTTTCACATATTTTTCATTAGAAATTTTGTTATATTGTTTTCTCTAATCCTGTTGTTAAATTATTTGTTATATTATTTATTTAGATATTTTTAAAAAATCGTTATTTTTAATGTTTTACAAAAATTTGAATAACTTCTAAAATAATGAACGCTTTTTAATGATCTTAGGCTTATTTAAAAGGTCATTTTCTACAGAATGAGAATTACTTATAGGCATTAATGTGTAATTTTTTTAGAAAATGCAGGTCGTCAAAGTTGGACCAAAAGAATTCCAGGGTGGAATTTGGTCTAGTAAAAGTTCAAATCTATCGGGTTGTAAACTTTTTTTAAATTCTTAGCGGCCAAATTGGGTAAAAAACTTCAAATTTTGTATATCTGACTTCAAATTCGTAATCAGTGCCAAAATAACTCTCGGAATTCAAATTCCGAGAGTATTAATAGTGAAAGAAGGTCAATGAAAATTATTTAAAAATACAAAAGGATACATTATTTAACAAAAATATTTAAAAATTTTTTAAATTCTACTGTTATAGGTGTACTTATTATGACAAGATAATTACGATGAGTAATTTTGAAAATAAGATAGATGCTGAAAGTTTGAATTGTTTTGTAGGACAAAAGGATTACTGTGGGGGACGCTTTGGCGCATCCGTACCTAGATGAAGGAAGACTGAGATATCATTCGTGTATGTGCACGTGTTGTTATACAACAAGCGCTGGCATGAGGCAATACACAGGAGACTTTGAACCAGCTACGTCACATCCTTTCGATGATTTCTGGGAGCGAAAACTCACAAGCGTTCATCAGGTGAAAGGTCAGTTTAGTTAATCTTTAACAAAACCTTTCTTTGAAATTTAGGTGGTTACCTTATCTTATTTTTCCAATTTAAATCAAAAATTAGAACTTCCCAGTTGACAGATCCTAAGAATGTTCTAAAATGGCCAGGTTAACTTTTCATCTCCTTGAGGTATGAAAAATACGACCATAAATGTTGTCCAATTATCGAATTATCGTTGTTTTAAATTTAGAAAGTAGTGAGACAAAAAATTAAAGAAAAGTATCAAAATCAATTACACATTTTTTAATTGTTTTTATGTTACAGAGGAAATGCACAAATTTATTGCAGAACAGCTCAACACATCACGTGTACCGCTCTGTATAAATCCACAATCCGCGGCATTCAAGAATTTTGCAAGGTAAGTACATATGTGCATTTTTCACCATTGAGAATGGTAACCTCCCCTTAAGGGTCAGGCTTTCTGAAGTGTATCATAAAATTTCGATGGGTAGTCTAATTTACTTCAACCTTTTTTTTGGTAGTAAATAATGATATAACAACATTCATAAATAATCGAAATCGAAATTTTATGATACACTTTTATAAAACTTGATGTGCAGCTAGATAAAGTTAATATAAAGGCGTAGTTAAAGTTTTGAGATCTCAAGTTACCTATGAAAAAAGTTATCAACCTTTTTGTTTCTTAACATTTAACATTGAGTCTTATGAAAAAATCTCGAAAATTTAGGGTACTTGAATTCGAGCACTCGAAATATTAAAGCAATAGTGAATTCGAGTACTGGAGAGAATTTGAATTTTAGAATTATTTCAAATAATTAAAAACATTTGGGAATTAGAAAATTTAGTCAATTGAACACCAACTACAGGGAATTTAGGTTTCCATCAAATAGTCATAGCTTTAAATTAATTTGTATAAGTGGCTTCTTTTGCCCTTTCAAAATTCAAATTACTGAAATAGTATATTAAGCAACAAGGGGACAAAGGCAACCATTTATTTACGGTGATTTTAGTGACACAAAAATCATCTTAAACAAATTGTGCTGCCTTTGTTTCCGTGTTACTGACAATATTTTTTTATTCCTAATGCACAAAAGTGTCGATTTCAGATAGCAGACGTATGAAAATGGTGTTCATTTTCATACAGTCGAACAAATGAATGACTTTACTCCCTGTCGTCAGCTATCTAAAAGCGACATTTTTGTGCTGGTGGGATAAATCATTTTTACTTTTTAAAGGAAACTAAAACTTAAAATATGTGATTTCTTACTATATTTCAATAGCAGAAAGCCTTTCTGCAAAATAATCAGTAGGGGAGATTCGAGGGAATTGTGGGCCACCTACATTATTTAATAATATTTGAAAGTTTGATCATACAATTTTTTTTATTTTCTTTTGTTTTGTGACGATATAGAAGCGAAATCAAAATATTATTGTTTAATTGTTTTTGAAATATAATTTTACATGTATTCGACGTACGGAATTTTGTGTACGCTCCTGAGCGCCGATAGTGCGCGTGCGCTCAGTTACGACCAATGGTGAGCGGTGAAGTTCTCTCCCACCGAGATCTTCTCCCTCCAGCGCAACCAGAATCGAGGACCCCGAATGCACGGTCCAAGAGCGTCACTTCTCGAAGCGGTATTACCGCGATAGGGTCTCTGATGTGGTATTACCACGATGAGATCGAAGTGGTTTCACCACAAGCGGTATCACCGCATAGGAGATAAAGAGGTGTTACCTCACGGGTAGGAACGCGCTCTCCCACGAAATCGTTCGGTGCCGTTTCGAAAGTCGTCGTTGTCCGAAATGTCGTTTATTGTATTGTAACTCGTCGCGTTACTATACTAAAATCCACGTTTGCTTCATGTTATCGTTTTATCGCTTTGTAACTCGCCGCGTTACTCTTTTACGGAAATCCGCGTCTCGCACGATAATGTTTTTATTGTAAATTAAACTAATCGTCAACGTCGTCGAAATCACAGTTAACGCACGAATTTATGTCGCTTTACGTACTTCGTTAATGTTCGCGATATTACGTTTACGTCGTTTTTCTCGTCTCCGCGTAGATGAGTTTATTCAGTTCTTTGTACTTTTATTTGTGTTTTGTAAATATATTTTGAAGTTTCGATTCTGTAATTAAAATGTTAAAATTATTTAAACGAACCCTGACCGACGAGCAATCCACACCCTTAACATTCATTACAGTTTGTCTAAAGTAAATTTTTCATAAGCAAGTAAGAATTTCTGAAACAGGCCATACCTAAAACTCGGTTATTTTTTCTTTAATGTTAATTTTCCTACAGCATTTTACATGAAAAAACACTATGAAAAAGGATTTTGCCAAAAATTTTTTTTACTCTTGTTATTAAAATTAAATTTTTAGAATTTATAAGAAAATTCTGAATTTTTGTGTCTTTTTCGTTTGCCTCATAAACTATGAAATTGACAAGAATTCTAATACAAAACCTTCAATTTTTTCTATATCTGCCAATAATTTTTTTTCAAATAACTTAATTCTTGAAGAACTATCATAAAATTATTACTTAGAGATTATTTAATGAATAATTTTATTTAAGGAGGATGATGACTCAAATAAAAATGTTAAGAATTTTTTGAAATTTGGAAAAACTCGTTGTTAAGAATGTCTAAATTATAGAACAATTTTTTTTTTAATTTTTTACTGTCCCGTTTTTGAGAATTTAATTGTTGAAATTGCATGTTTTTATATGGGCTCTTATGGGGAGTGTTATGTGAAGTGCACTATTTTGATAATAACTTGTGTAAAAAAGTTAAACTTTTTTTAAAAATCATACTCTTTTAAAGTTTAATACTTTTGGAATAATTTTAAAAAATAATTGAGTAAACCGACTGTCCTGATTTTTAGAAATAACATTAAAACTGACGTAAAATTACAGATTTTCTAACCTCTCTAACATAATACACAGAAACGTGGCAACGTCGCAATGTAATCATATACGAATGAAATCTTATTCAGTGTTACCAACACTGTTTCTAGCATGCATATGGAATGCGCTGTTGTCACGATCTCCATGCTCATAAAATTTTTTTACAAAATTTTTTTTACGTAATTAAATAATTATTTTTTAAAATATTTTTTAAGAATAATGAATTGGAATTATTAAAAATACTATTTTTTATGTCTAATATATTAAGTATTGCATATTTCACTTATAAAATATATATTAAAACAGTTGGTATTTGCAGTTTTAATCCCATATAAAAGCATGTGAATTCCCCTCTCGCCGCCTGCCCCGAAAAGACAGTCACCATCCTCCTTAAAAATTTAAAAATTAATTGGATTTCAAAAGAGTTGCGTTTACCATCTTCATAAATAGATGAAATTCAGAGGTTTCAATTTGAAATTTTAGAAAATTTCAATTTTTAATGAATTTAAATAGGAATTTTAAGAACAACTGATTACAAAAATTCAATTATTTTCAAAAGTGATAAACTTCTTCGCATAAAATCAATTATGTTCAAAAATTTTTAAAAACTCGTCAAAATTTCAATTATCTGTATATTAAATAAATAAATAAATAAATAAATCTCTATCAATAATAAAAATCTTCTCCAAAATTCAATTATTTTCAAAAAATTTTAAAAAATTCTTGGCAAAAATTCTTTACAAGAAATCTATTATTTTCATAAATAATAAATTTTTTTTCGAGAATTCAATTATTTTAAAAAATTATAATAAATAAATTGATCATAGAATACAATTATTTTAGTAAAATATAACATTCTTCCGAGGAATACAATTATTATCAAAAATATTTATAAAAATCTTCGAAACAATTCAGTTATCTACGTAAAAATTAAAATTCTTCGAAGCAATTCAATAGTTTAAGAAATTTTAATAAAATTCTTCCCAAGAATTCAATTATTTTCAAAAATTTTCCTCACTTCAATTATTTTTAATATCTACTATTTGAATAAAATTTTTCAAAAGAATTAAATTATTTAAACAAAATTTTAATAAAAATTCCACGGGACTTTAATTATTTTCAAAAGTGATAAACTTCTTCGCATAAAATCAATTATGTTCAAAAATTATTAAAAATTCTCTGCAAAATTTCAATTATTTTAGATATTTTAATAAAATTCTTCCCAAAAATTTAATTAAAATTTTCAAAAATTTTCCTCATTTCAATTATTTTTAATATCTACTATTTTAATAAAATTTTCGAAAAGAATTCAATTATTTAAACAAAATGTTAGTTAAAATTTCACAAAAATTCAATTATTTTCAAAAAGTTTTAAAAAATTTTGAAAAATTCAATTATTTATAACATTTTGAATAAAATTCTTCACAAGAAATTAGTTATTATTATATTATAAATATTAATATTGTACTTCGGAATTCAATTATTTTTATAAATAAAATTTTTCACAGAAATCCAATTATTTTTAAAAATTTTAATAAAATTCTTCATAAGAATTCAATTTTAAGTAATATTCAATTATTTAATAATTTTTTTATTTTTGTATTTAAATAATTGAATTCTCGACAAATTTTCTAATAAAAATTTATTAAAAATTAATTTCACTTAAAATTTTAAATTATAATTGAATATTAAAAGCATTATAGCGTGAATTTTTATAAATAATTGAATTTTGAAAAGGGTTCAAATTAAAATCTTTGAAAATTTTAATTTATAGTTACAACATTCTTATGATATAAAATAATAATTTTATCAATCTGTCATCTTAAATTTATTATAAAACATGAATAATATTCTCATAAGTATTATTGAATTTTAGAAAGTTTGAATTTGAAAATCTGAATTCCTATAGCAAACTAATAATCATTAAATATTTATTTAAAAAAGAAGTTATTGATGCTTTCGAATAATGTTCTTTTGAAGAAATTTTAAAATAAATGTAATTGAAATTTTTTTTGAGTATCAAATATTTTTTGGAGTGAATCAGAATATTCTTCAGTGTCAGAGAAAAAGTCAAAATTTTGTCTTTAATTCAGGGAAAAACAAAATTAAATTTTTGTGGCAACCCTGTTTAATAATGAAGAAAATTGTTTATTTATAAAAAAATATGTTAAGAAGTAGCTAAAATAATTATTTTTGATATTGCGTACGAAATAATTTCACACGTAACACAGACATGCGCATGCAAAATCCTTTTACGTAGTAATTTTTCTTGTAAAACGCTACAGGAAAATGTTTACTTAAACTGTGTGATTAATGGAGCTTATTTTACTTGTCCAAATTGTGATTCCGATTAATTTAATTTTCTTATTTTTTCTTTTCTAATTTTAAACTAATTAATAAACATTTATAACATTTTTAATATTTCTAACCATTTAATAAATATATTTCATCGTTATTTTCGATTTTGAACTTAATTCAGGCAGGGGCCTACAATTCCCCATACATTTTTAAAAATCATAAAACTGCATTTTTTAGTAAAACTTAAAATACTTTTAGATAAGTGATAATTTTGAGAAACTGACTATGATATTTATTATTATTTTATATGTTAGGTTATACCTCCTACTGATAAAAAATTGATATTGATTGATATTGAGCTAAGAAAAAATGTGGCCCACAATACCCCATTCTCCTCTAGATTTTAACTATTCAACTATTTTGATTCAACCCAATTTAAAATCCGATTTTATTGATTATTTTTACAAAAGAGATTCTTGCTGTCGATTCCAGAGGCGATTATCAAATTAAAATGGCTTTTCGCTTTTTCCAGAATCGATGGCATATCCCGCGTAAATCGCAGGCAGAATCCCCACTTAAGTGGGCCAAGAGACCACTAATTGGCGAAGATAATCCCCATTTTTCATGAATCTCGCGTCTTCACATCCTCTCTCCGCTAAATCGCGCCAAATTATTAGATGCCTATTTTCCAAAAGAATCGATCCTTTTGCAACCCGACTCGCATCTGATGTAGGAGGAATATTCATATCCGCTTCAAGGGTAATTCACTTCTATGACTATTTGTGCTGCATGACAATTCATATCTTTGACTAAAAAGAACATAAAAAGTAAACGAAACTCTCTGCTCAAATAAAATTCTAACAAAATGAACATTTGAACTCTTGGGAATTCTAACAAATAAACATTCTTACTTTTGGAAATTCTAACAAATATACATTCTAACTTTTATTAATTCGAACACATAGACATTCTAAGAAATGAACATTTGAACTGTTAATAATTCTAATTTCTAACAAATAAACATTCGAAGTTTTAGCTATTCGAACAGTAAGGCATTCTGACTTTTAAAATTCTAACAAATGGTTATTCTACCTTTTGATATTTAGACAAAAAAAGGCGTCTCCCTCGACATCCGGGTGTACCTTGTTGTTAATCTATAGCTATGATTATGCGATGCAAACCAAAATTCCCTGAAGATGATATTCAATAGGGTGGGCCGAAAAATAACTTTTTTTTAGAATCCTATTCTAATAGTGGGGAAATGTTGCCTTTTTAGCTCAATAAAACATGTGCAAAACAACAGCTTGATCCATGAACATCTTGATTATATTTGCAGTCATTTTAATGCATTTTATTTCCTTTTTATTAAAATGAATTAAAGTGTCAGCAATGTTTATGTCATAAATGGAATTCAAATAATTACAAATTTTATGGTATTAAACATAATTAAATTGCTTTCAATTCTAATTACCCTATTTTAATTTTTTAATTTTAATTTGTTTCAATCAACCTCTTATATATTATATTGGAATATACTGGGACTAAAGCAATGTTAGGACACACACATGGACATTTAAAAAAAATGTTTTTTGGACCCTTCAGGTCAAATTATATCAAAATACACAAAAAATCACAATCGAAAATTTTCACTAACACATCATTCGTCTATGAGAAAGAAATACAGGGTTGCCACAAAAATTTCATTTTGCTTTTCCCTGAATTCAAGACAAAATTTTGATTTTTTCCCTGACAATGAAGAATATTCTGATTCACTCCAAATATTATTAGATATTTAAAAAGAAATTTCTATTACATTTATTTACAAATCTCTACAAAAGTAAAATTATTCGAAACCATCAATAACTTCTTTTATAAATAAATATTTAATCATTATTATTTTTCTATAGGAATTAAGATTTTCAAATTCAAACCTTCTGAAATTCAATAACTTATAATAAATTTAAGATGACAGAGTGATAAAATCATTATTTTATATCATAAGAATATTGTAACTATAAATTCAAATTTTCAAAGATTTTAATTCAAACCCTTTTCGAAATCCAATTATTTATAAAAATTCACGCTATAATGCTTTTAATATTCAATTATAATTTAAAATTTTAAGTGAATTTCATTTTTTTTTTATTAATTTTTTCTTTTAAATTTGTCGAAAATTCAATTATTTAAATACAAAAATAAATAATTTATTAAATAATTGAATATTTCTTAAAACTTAATTTTTACGAAGAATTTTATCAAAATTTTTTAAAATAATTGAATTCCTGTGAAAAATTTTATTCATGAAAATAATTGAATTCTGAAGAACAATATTAGTATTTATAATAATAATTAATTTCTTGTGAAGAATTTTATTCAAAATTTTTTAAAGAATTGCATTTTTCAGAATTTTTAAAAACTTTTTGAAAATAATTAAATTTCTGTGAAATTTTTATTAAAATGTTGCTTTAATTGAATTCTTTTTGAAAATTATATTAAAATAGTAGATATTAAAAATAATTGGAATGATGAAATTTTTTGAAAATAATTGAATTCTTGGGAAGAATTTTATTTTTTACGAAGATAATTGAATTGTTTCGTAGATTTTTATAAACATTTTTTACAACAATTGTATTCCTAAGAAGAATGTTATATTTTACGAAAATAATTGTATTCTATGATCAATTTATTTATTATAATTTTTTAAAATAATTGAATTCTCCAGAAAAATTTTATTATTTAATAATATAATAGATTTCTTGTGAAGAAATTTATTCAAATTTTTTTAAAATAATTGAATTCTATTGGAAAATTTTATTAAAATAATAGATATTAAAAATAATTGAAATTTTGTCAATAAATTTATTAAATTTTTTGAAAATAATTGAATTTCAGAGAAGATTTTTATTATTTATAAAGATAATTGAAATTCTGACGAGAATTTTTTAACATAATTGATTTTATGCGAAGAAGTTTATCACATTTCAAAATAATTGAATTCCTGTAGAATTTTTATTAAAATTTTGTTTAAATAATTGAATTTATGTAATCAGTTGTTCTTAAAATTTCTACTTAAATTCATTAAAAATTGAAATTTTCTAAAATTTCAAATTCAAACTTCTGAATTTCATCTATTTATGAAGATGGTAAACGCAACTCTTTTGAAATCCAATTAATTTTGAAAGTTTTAAGTAAAATTATTCATTAAATAATTTCTAAGTAATAATTTTATGATAGTTTTTCAAGAATTAAGTTATTTAAAAAGAAAGTATTGTCAGAAATAGAAAAAATTAAAGGTTTTGTATTAGAATTCTTGTCAATTTCATAGTTTATGAGGCAAACAGAAGAGACACAAAAATTCAGAATTTTCTTATAAAATTCTAAAAATTTAATTTTTTCCAGTACTTTTAATAAAAATCCCTGACTTTTCCCTGACCTGTGGCAACCCTGAAATAGAATAATAAAAGATTTAAAAAAATAAAACATAAAATTTACCAATTTTTTCTAATGTTTTCTGTCTGAAAATTTTGCAGCTCAACAGTGGCGCATCCCTCGGAATTGCCACCATCTCCTCATCAATGGGAATAAAATGCTTCTTCGAGTTTGGAAAAAATCGTCTTGCAGTCTTCTTGTTCCGAAGGGAATCTTGGACGTCGACGCGCACACAAAACTTTTTTTGGACGAAACAAGAATAAAACTCAAGATTAAGCCAAGAGAGACAATAGACTGCCGAGCACTGTAGCATGAAAAAAATTTTCGATTAGCTGATTTAAACAAAATAACAAGAATTTTAGGACAAAAACGTAGCTAATTAATGTAATTTTCCAAAAAAAATCTACAATGCAAAAAATAGATAATTACATAAAATAGGGAATATTTTCAAGAGATAGAAGCGAGAGGCTGAATGATTAGTTTAAGGGAGAAAACAATGGGAAATGGGAAAATACGAGAAAATCTCGACAGTGAGAGGGCCAGTTTTTAGATTTAATTAACTTTTCATTTTGTAAATCACAAAGATGGCTGGCATTTAATGACTGTGAGTACTAAAGGTGGATACCTGGTACACCTTGACAATTTTTTTCCTTCTAATATTATTTAAATTGAGTTGATAAGATAGAAACCCTTTTCTACCATAATAGTTTCTTGTTTTTAGAGAAAAGGAACTCAGCGAATTAATATTTATTATTACATCGCCTGCCCGACGTGTTAATATGTAATTACAAAAATAAAGAAGAAACTATTGATCTTAAATTGCAAACGTCAAATATTAAGACTATTGTAGTTAAAATTATTAATATAAAGAAGATCAATCTGTAATTAAATCAATTGAATTATACTTTAATCTACTGTTCACCACAGTGACGAACGAGGCCAAGTAATAATTATATTCTAAGAAAGCGAACGCATTTGTGTCGATATTAAAAAAGAAAACAAAAAAATGATACATTGTGTACATTATATAAATATAAGTAGATACTCGTGTCCATCGATTTTTATATTATTTACGATTTTCAAAGGGAAGTTGATGATGACAAAAAGGGTTGACTAACACACTTTCCCTTCAAAAAGTGTTACTGATTTTATTAACACTCACAAATTTAGTAGTATATATTTAAAGAAAAAAAAGTTTAATCTAAACTTTACAGACAAACATTACAGACATTTGTCAAATGCAATTACATTTCATAAAAGTCAGTAATCTAATAAAAAATTACAATTAATGAAGATAAAAAAAGAAAAGAAAATTTTTGGTCTAAAACATTAGTTCCATTATTTGTCTTTTAATAAATATTTTTTAAAAATAAAATTTTTAATTCCCTTCCTGATGATTATTTCTAGTTGATTTTGTTTACAGATTAATCAAAATCGCTAAAATTTTGATTTCCTTGAATTTGTAAGCTAATAAATAATTATATTTTCTGAAATGTAATTGAATTTGAGAAAAATGTTAGAAATGTGTAATCGTGGGTAATTAAAATTTAATAGTTATGATCAATAATACGTATTTATGCGTATAAGTGAAATAAAAGAACAACTAATAATTAAGAATTACTTAAGGACGAAGTGTAAATGAGGGTGATAAGAATAAAGAAAACGAAAAAATTATTGATTTATGCAAACAAAAGCTAATAGACATTTGATAAATAATAATTAATGCTAAATGTAATTTTTTTCGCAATTTTGTAAGCGACTAAGTAAGGAATATTATGCGGCCTTCCACAATGACAATTTCAAAGTAAAGCACTGCCAAAAAACTTGAAATGTGATTTTAGATTAATTTTTGCGTCGTGCAATATCAGATTTTAAAAACAAATTCATCCGCAATATTTGCTTTCAAATTATAACATCATTCAAATCATTTTGAAAGACTATCTCTAACAGTTTTTTAATTTCGATTAAAAAAGTGACAATTAGAATTGAATTACATTAATATTTTCAGTCTATGATAAATTGTTTATCAATAAAAATTACAGTTACGTGAAAAAAATAAATTAATTAAAATTTTATCAATATTCAAACTTGGAAAAACACCTTTTTTATTAATTTATAATATACAGTGAGTTCTCCCGAGTTCAGGAATCCTTAGAAACTTTTCCACTAGTGATGGACAATACAGGGCTCGAACTAGGTCCGTAAATCCCGTAGAGGTCCGTAAATTTGCTTCAAGTCCGTAAAAGTCCGTTTTTTTAAAAAAAAAGTCCGTAATTTGATAGAAAAAGGATGAAAAGTTTGCAAATTGTACGATATAATTTGGAGAATTTTAGAGAAATTACAAATGATTGCAGAAATTCAATTATTTTCAAAAATTTTAATAAAATTCTTGGCAAAATTTCAATTACTTTAAAAAAAAATTTTCTCAATTCAATTATTTTTAATATCTACTATTTAAATAAAATTTTCCAAAAGAATTCAATTATTTAAAAAAATATTAATAAAATTCTACGCAAACATTTAATTACTTTTTCTAAAATAATAAAAATTTCACAGGAATTCAATTATTTACAAATTTTTTATAAATAGTTCAATTATTATCATAAATAATAAAATTTTTATAAGAATTTAAATTATTTTCGTAAATAAAATTCTTCTTAAGAATTCAATTATTTTTATAAACTCAATGCTGAATTTCAATTATTTTTAATACAATTTTAATGGAATTCTTCGAAAAGTGTAATTATTATAAAACTTTTCTTGAAATTCATCAAAAGAATTCAATTATTTAAAAAATTTTGATTAAAATTCTTCACAAGAAATCAATTATTTTCATAAATAATAAATTTTTTTTCGAGAATTCAATTATTTAAAAAACTTGTAATAAATAAATTGATCATAGAATACATTTATTTTCGTAAAATATAACATTCTTCCTAGGATTACAATTATTGTCAAAAATGTTTATAAAAATCTTCGAAACAATTCAATTATCTTCGTAAAAAATAAAATTCTTCGAAGCAATTCAATAATTTGCCAAAATTTTCCTCATTTTCATAATTATTATTAATATCTACTATTTTAATACAATTTTCCAAAAGAATTTAGTTATTTAAACAAAATTTTAATAAAAATTTCACAAGAATACAATTATTTTCAAAAAGGTTTGAAAAATTTTGAAAAATTTAATTATTTAAAAAAGTTTGAATAAAATTCTTCACAAGAAATTAATTATTGTCATAATTAATAATATTGATCTCCGGAATTCAATTATTTTCATTAATAAAATTTTTCACAGAAATTCAATTATTTTTAAAAATTTTGATAAAATTCTTCCTAAAAATTCAATTTTAAGAAATATTCAATTATTTAATAAATTATTTATTTTTGAATTTAAATAATTGAATTCTCGACAAATTTTCTAATAGAAATTTATTAAGCAATGAATTTCACTTAAAATTTTAGATTATAATTAAATATTAAAAGCATTATAGCGTGAGTTTTTAGAAATTTTAGAATTTTGAAAAGGTTTCATATTAAAATTTTTGAAAATTTTAATTTTTCATACTTTTAATTAACAATTCTGTAGAAGAATTAATTTTTTTGTAAAAGTTTGTTTCAATTTTACTTGAAATTATTTTTTTTTAAGTTTTTACTTGCTAATATATATATTTAATTGAAGAATTTCCGAATAATTGAAATTTTTGAAAATTGAATAGTAAAAAAATGAATTAAAAAATTTTTAAAGAACTTTTAAAAAAATTATTAAAAATAATGGATTTATAGAAGAATTTTAGTTAACAACACGAAAAAAAATTTTAATTTTGGAGAAAGTACTTGCAGAAATTCAATTATTTTCAAGAGTAATAAAATTCTTCGCAGAAATTTAATTATGTTCAAAAATAATAAAATTCTTTTTAGGAATTCATTTATTTTCATAAATAATAAAATACATCTCAGAATTTCAATTATTTGCAATACAATTTTAATCAAATTTCTCGAAAAATGTAGTTATTCTTAAAAATTTTATTAAAATTCGTCAAAAGAATTCAATTATTTAAAAATTTGTTGATAAAACTCTTTGTGTGAATTCAATGTTAAGAAACATTCAATTATTCAATAAATTATTTATTTGCATTTTATTTGTATTTAAATAATTGAATTCTAGTAGAAGTTTCTAATAAAAATTGTTTTAAAGATGAATTTCAGTTAGAATTTTAAATAGTAATTAATTATAAAAAGCAATAAATGTAGTGTGAATTTTTAGAAATAATTGAATTTTGAAATTAATTTTTTTCGAAAAGTTTAATTGAATTTTTTTTATATTTGTAAACAAATGAATTTGAAAATTGTCAGAGGACTTTTACGAAAATTAACTGATTTAAAGAAGAATTTAAGTTAAAAATTCTTGAAAATAATAATTCAATTGAAATGATGAAAATAATTTTGCAGAAGTACTTATATATGTAGTTCTTATAATATAAAATAATTATTTTATCTTTCGGACATTTTTAATTATTATAAAACATGAAGAAATCAATCACTCCGAGTCGAAGACTCGGAGTAATTGATTTCTTCATGTTTTATAGTTATGGAAAAAATTAATTTCTAGTTACAAGTAAAATGTTCTCTTATTTGACTCTGACTGGTTACATTTTTGTCAGTAATTGGTCCGTAATTTTTCATTTTTGGTCCGTAAAGTCCATATTTTTAAATACTTTCACTGGTTCGAGCCCTGACAATATCGATACGATACTATTAGTGTCGAAAACCCCTCCTTCTCTTCTCTAAATCTTCAGTTGCATTGTGTTTGAAATTTTTTTAGGTAATATACGTAAAAAAATCACATGTAATTTACGTGACGTATATTAAGTCGTCTATTCTTTTCTATTTTATACTTTTGTTCGCTTCCCGTTTTATTCTGCTCAGGCCTTCAAACGCTTAAATCGCGCATCTTAGACGATTTTAGGGACGCGTATAGTTCACAAATTGCCAGTAGTAAATAATCAAAAATTTTATTTTTGTAATATACAGTTACTTTGTGAACATGAAGAATAACTCATTTTTATTATAATTTATTATTTAATAAACAAAAACATTTCGAAATATTTTAATTATTTAAATTCAATATAAAAACGTTATTTTCAACAAATGAGAAATCAATTATTTGAATTGTGATATACGAAATAATATTATATAATAACAAATGATAATTAATGTATTGTTTATTTAAACAATAACTTTATAGTGCACATACCTTTCAGAATTAAAATTTCCTAGTACAAATTTTCCCACGTCAACTTCTGTGGAGGAAAGGCATCGCAGCACAACCACATTAATTTGTCATTATTTCGAGATAAGCGAGTTTTAATATTCTCTTACTTCTTTGAAATCGAAAAATCAAAGGATTTATTTGATTCTTGATATTTAGACTTATTATTTGATATATTTTTAAAACAGGCTCATCCTATTTATTAAAATATACGACTTGATGTAAAATTTAACATATTTCTAGTTTAAGAATGTTCGATGATCTCTGAGATTTCTTAGTTATGTTCGACCAACAGTTATCGCCCAACAAAAACGGCACTGTCTGGTTCAAATGACGTAAAATTGGTAAACATTCGTTTTCGAAAAGTTTTTCTCTGCGCGCAGAGATTTTTTAAAAAATCTCCTAACGAATCATCGGCACGTATCTTCTTAATTACCTAAATCAGGGATGCCACGGGTCAGGGAAAATAGAATTGGTCAGGGAAATCAGAGAAAAGTCAGGGATTTTTTTTTTAAGTACTGGAAAAAATTAAATTTTTAGAATTTATAAGAAAATTCTGAATTTTTGTGTCTTTTTTGTTTGCCTCAATAAACTATGAAATTGACAAGAATTCTAATACAAACTCTTCAATTTTTCTATTTCTGACAATAATTTCTTTTTAAATAACTTAATTCTTGAACAACTATCATAAAATTTTTACTTAGAAATTATTTAATGAATAATTTTACTTAAAAATTTCAAAATTAATTGGATTTCAAAAAAGTGGCGTTTACCATCTTCAAAAAATAGATGAACTTCAAAGGTTTCAATTTGAAATTTTTGAAAATTTCAATTTTTAATGAATTTAAGTAGAAATTTAAAAAAAAACTAATTACAGAAATTCAATTATTTTCAAAAGTGATAAATTTCTTCGCATAAATTCAATTATTATGTTCAAAAATTTTTAAAAACTCTTCAAAATTTCAATTATCTTTATCAATAATAAAAATCTTCTTCGAAATTCAATTATTTTCAAAAAATTTAATAAAATTCTTGGCAAAAATTCAATTATTTTTAATATCTACTATTTTAATAAAATTTCTCAAAAGAATTCAATTATTTAAACAAATAATACATGTCTTATGGAAATTCAATTATTTAAAAAATTTTGAATAAAATTCTTCACAAGAAATATATTATTTTCTTAAATAATAAAATTTTTCTCGAGAATTCAATTATTTAAAAAAATTCTAATAAATAAATCGATTATAGAATACAATTATTTTTGTAAAATATAACATTCTTCCTAGAAATACAATTATTGTCAAAAATTTTTATAAAAATCTTCGAAACAATTCAATTATCTTCGTCAAATTTTAAAAATAAAATTCTTCGAAGCAATTCAATTATTTAAGATATTTTAATAAAATTCTTCTAAAGAATTCAATTATTTTCAAAAAATTTCCTCATTTCAATTATTTTTAATATCTACTATTTTAGTAAAATTTTCCAAAAGAATTTAATTATTTAAACAAAATTTTAATAAAAATTTCACAGGAATTCAATTATTTTCAAAAAG